CAGAGGGTAAGTGAGCATGCCGTTTACGAATACAATACTGTCTTTTAGAATCTCTTATCTTCATCGATTTTATCAATTTTTTGCAAATTTTGAGCTATGGCGCAAGTTGACACGGGAGTTAGGTGGGCATTATAGTTGGGCATTATAGTCGACCGAAAAATTTCGTCGAACGAATACCGAATAAACGGCTTTAAAAAACATTCGCACGAACGAATATTGTTCGATCTGTGATTTTCGATTATTCGGATTCGAAAGTTCGAATAATGCTACATTTCAAAATGCGAATGAGCGGCGGTTGGTCAAATATTCAACTATTTGGATAATCGAATAATTACATATGGTCAAATATCTGACCGTTCGACTATTCGAATAATCATACCTGTTCGAATATTCGACAATTGGAATAACTTGAATAATCTAGTAACTCAGATGTTGCTGGTTTTTTCTTTGTGATTTTCTGCAAGAAAAATCAATCGCTATATTTGATCAAGATTTGTAGCTGATAATTAGATGCGTAGCAAGTGGTAAGCATGACTGGCTTGTTGCCGCTTGATCAGGGTTCTACCAGGAAACTGAGAGAAATTTTGCTTGAACACATAGTTCAAGGTGTTCATTGTGTTTGAGACGTCTACTCAGCCTTAATAACCTTAATAACCGTTTCAAGTCCGCATTTCTTTCTCACAGAAGCTTCTCCCACTACAGATTCAACATTGAAAAGCTTTTGGAAGGTGTAGTTGTTTGCAATCTATTCGTGATAGTAAGCATTGCGTGAGTTTCAACCAGGGCCCGGCACGAGACCGTTTCTAGGTTTTTTGAAAACGAAGTCCCCCCTGATTCTCGAAAATTTTACGAAGTCCCCTTTGTCCCTTGCTGTACTCATAAACCGTCCAGAAAATGGAGCTACCGCTTAAAATTATTATGATATTCGACATCAAGGAGTCGAACACCCTGCCTCCCCCTCCCTCCCCCCCCCCCCCCTTAAACCGAGTTTAAGCAACATCCAGGCTTTAAAATTCTAAGACCTGGATACGGAATAGCGCCAACTTTGTAAATTCTTGAGAAGAAAGCACATAGTGGCTGATTATGAAACAAATCTTCTAATCTCCATATGATGTAAAGACATAACCTGCTCATAATGAACACGAGACCAATCAGACAATCCACATAAGCCTCTGTTTTCTCAGCAACCTGTTAGCGGATACAAGATAACTGACTGTAACTAGCTCCAAAATCAACTCACTCTTGTTGAATCAATCTTTATGAAACGAGCGCAGTTCAGGAAGATTTTCAAACTCATGCGGCAAAGTGTCACAAGTTCTGTACGACTTTCCAGCAAATAGTCTTGCTGTTTGAGGATTACCAGAAAATGAGTTGCTTCTCGTAGCCCAAGAATGCGAACAAATTGGAGGACATTTGCAGTATCGAAATTTTCAATTCAAACAGAAAACTTCAAACAACTCCAAGTAGAAACAAAATGAAGAAGTTCGTGAAAATCTTGCTCATTTGCATCGACCTCACTTCATTGACACGATTAATGAGCTCTCGAACAAGCACGCTGCTTAGCTCTTCCTGTCTGAAAGTTTGATTTCAAGTGTGCCAAACAATTCTTATGAAGAGTATTTCGTAAAAAAACCAAAATTAGAAAGATATATTTCGTAAAAAAAACCAAAATTAGAGACTTCAAAACTCACCATGGATTCTTTGACAGCATGTAGACTTTCCAGCTTCATGGTCCATAACGTAGACAAGTTGCTCTATCACTCTCAGCTACCATGCTATACAAACTCTCCTATACGTCTTTCCGGAGACTAGCGTCAAGATTTTCTCCACACAGCGCTATTACATAAGGACGTCAACGTTCCACGAATTTCTGAAAAAAAGCCATAAACTCAACTGAATCATAACAAATGCAACGGTAACTTAGTATATCAGACCTTTAACTGTGCTTGAGGGCAAAATTCTGGCTTGGTAAAATGAACCATTCTGCAGTAGTCTATGACAGCACCATCCTGACCCACTAATACCACAAAAGACGCCGCATCCATGTCAGTTAAGTAGACAATTCCCATGACTCGCACATTCTCCTATACAATTGACTGTGAAAAAGAGAAAAGTAAAAGATCCAAAACTACCAACCTGACGATTAAAGTCTTCGTCTTCTCGGAAGGATGGAAAGCTTTGAATGTGACTTCCAGCTTCTACAATGAGAACAAGATCCGATTTGGGATACAAAAGATAGCAAACGAAAACTAATGAGATTCAATTGTTAGATAAATCAGACCGTAAGTCGGAAGATTGAAAGAAAACATCACAATATCGAAACCAAAGCTGGAACTGTAAGTGAAAATTCAAAGGGAGAGGACGCAGAGAATTTGGCGATAGGGCGCGATATCTAACAACGCAAATTCCGAAAGAAAATAGGGCAAAGAACAGTGGACGGGGGATAATAGGAAATTGTCCCTATGCTCAGGGATAGATTCTTGACCGGGCCTTCCGTCCATGCTAAAAAGATCCGAAACTTATGAGAAGTGACGGAAATATATGCTCCAGACGATCTCAGATCGTCTGGTGGCCGTCTGGAGACGATCTAATTTTGGAAAAGGTATCTTCACATAAGTTTCTAAATCTTTTTACATAATTCTTCGGCAAATAATTTTCTTTGTGTACAGTTCAATTTTGGTGTCATATGAATCTGTGTGAGCTGTAAACAAGCAATTTTTCTATTTTAGCCTTACTTTCAAATCGCGCGGCTTTTCACCGTACACGATAGAGCATGTCAATCGTGTGATAACCTGTCCGAAAAGCTTATGTTCGACTGGATGGTCGCTTATTTTTGGTATAGAGGAGAAACTGAAGAGAATTATGGTAACTAAGGTGACAACTGGTGGCTAAGGGTACTTAATGACTTTTGAAAGTTTGGCACTTAACGTCCAAGTGTTACTTAATGATTTTGGAAGGGCTGATACTTATTTTCATAATGGTAATGAGCGACCTTAGCTTGCTCCCAGCTAGCACACAGCGTACAAATTTCCACCACATATTTCGCTAGTAAACATGTGCAAAAATTTTTTCCGGGGCTCCGCCCCGGACCCCGCAAAAACGACATCTCCTTTGCGTTTTGCTCCAAAAACGAAGTCCAGCCTGCTTCCAGACGATCTATGCCGGGCCCTGGTTTCAACACTAGCACTGGGAGAGCACGAGGAGGGCTATAGTAATAGGATCAGTGAATCTCTGCAGCTGAGGTGACGCATTTTTGTCTACATAACAGTTCTGTGCGCGTCCAAATCCAGAAAAAAGTCATGGAAATATCTGCATATTAGCTGCTAATCTAATACTTGTCGGAAATATCAGTCGCTGAGTTTCACAGTTTCTGTTGTAAGATTGGACTTTCATAAAGTGGCTATAGCTGTATTTTTGAGGTGCGTACTTTTGTTATAAGGGATCTTCCACATCTTTTACTCAAGCTAAAAATAATTATTTTTCAACCTACACGCCTACTCAGCGTATTATTCCCCTATGAAGTTTGCAACATTTGAACTTCTAGTTTTTACGCCTCCTGACCATAAAGGCAGCCGATTTGAGGTGCGCTGCGTTACTGTATCTTTCAGATATTTTGACATGCGGGTGGTGATTAGGCTGGCAAGGCAAATGGAGGTCTCGAGATGAAGAAATGAATGTTGTCAATACGTGCTGCTTTAACGATCGAATATTGTTCTTCAAAGCAGCACGTATTGACAACAGCGAGACTGTTTTCCACAATGCTTCAAATATTCGAATATTCGATTGAGTTATTTTTCCAAACCGTCGAATGAACGAATATTCGAATGAAGGCATTTATTCGAACTAGAATATTCGAATAATCAAATATTTCGAAAAAATCATCCGTATACGAATATTCGGTTCCAACTATTAGGTTGTCCCTAAAGTTTTGCCGGTTTTTAGACCATTGAAAAACCACCCACAATAAAGACCGGAGTGAGTTTCAACATGCATTCGATGCAGCTTTTCCTTCTCCTTCTTATGGACACATTTTCGAACCAAAATCTTTTACGCTTTTTTTGATAATTGCCATCTCCACCCGTCAATTTTATGTGCTCAAAGTTAGGCTAATTCTTGAAAGTTTCATTTCAAAGTTTCTGAAAGGATTAAGTATTGATGAAATAGAGCAGTTCTCGGACTACAAGGTAATATTTTTGGATTCCTCCTAATCTGCTGATTTTGCTTCAAAAAATTATTTCTTGGAGGTCTCGTTTTTTAGCAAAGTCATGAAACACGCAACTGCATAAAAAACACGAAAGCTTCTGCGTATCAAAACATAATTCTTACTAAACATCATTTATGCAACATAACCAACTTGACTCGCTCCGAAAAAGCAGTTTTTTGGAATTTTTAGTACTTTTACGTGTTAAACTTAATCAAAAAGCGCGTTTTTTATTAACTAGGTAATTATAACGGACTTGGTAAACGCGGTTCATGTAATCTAAAATGGATACAATGTAGCCTAAGGTTTGCTCTACATAACAGTTACCAGCGCTTTTCGAAAACATCAGAATAAAAAAATTCTAAAATTCAGGAAAGATTTCGCGTCACTGCTGAGCTGCTCAAAAAGCCATGGCGATGACATTGCAAAGACACGGTAGATCAGAGAGCAAGTATAGCTGTAAAAAAGAGAATGAAAATCTGAATCAAACAATGCCTAAGCCGTCTATGGACTGGTGTTCTGTCAGTTTTAGTGAGCGATAAAAGAAACCGACAAAACTTTCGGGACAACCTAATATAATGGGCATGCTGATTGCGAAAATAGAACGGTAATAGGAAACCGGCGCGTAGAAGTGGGCACAGGGAAAGGACAGGAATAGGGTAGTAACCTTTATCGTAGTGTTTTGACAAGGCCGGACGGAGCCGGCTATGCCAGCCGGCCTACGTATAAGTGACATTTGACACATGATGCAAAAAAGCTACCAGCTGCTTTAAGAAAGAAAACAAGCCATCAATTGCAGATACACAGCCGATGGTCGTGTTTTGATTAATGGAGTGCCTGAGACCCAAGACACACCCGCTGAGCTGTGGCGTAGTCTTATCTACAAGGCTGCCACAGCCAGAGTTATAAAGGAAATGGAAGATAAGGATGGTGGTAAGTTTGATCTTGATATAATGCTTTCTCTCAAAGGCAGCGTCCGGGCAGATTTTCGATTTTCATCTTTTGTTTTGGTCAGGCTATGATGCCGATTTCAAATATGAGATTTGAAATCGTGAATAGGGTCTAGCAGAGGTGGCGCTTTCACACGCTGGCTATCGTTTTTAAGGGTAGAGCAAAGGGGAACCTGTTTTTCCACTTGGAAATTTGATTACTAAAAAGCACAACTCTAGCAACTCCAACTCTTAGCAAGCCCAAGCTCAAAGGTGTAACATGATTTTACCAGTTACAGATAGATTACGTTACAGACACGACAGCTCATAAGTGTGTGCACACGACTTCAACGTGTCAAAAAGCAATTTTTATGCAAAAATATAAACAAGCGGTTTTTTACAACGAGCAAGCAATGTTGAGCCAACAGATTTGGTGTGCACATCCGCGGCGATGATCAACAGAAAAGTACGGCGCAACCAGAAAGCATACTGAGGTTGTGCGGGACCAGACAAAATTATGAATCTTCATAAATCTCCCCCATCCTTACATAAATTTCAAATTTTTTCATATAAATCTATTTCTTAAATCACGCTCTATCTATGAGTGCTCACCTAGACCCAAGTTTCGTCTCCCATCCTCTGTTGTGGCCCTTGATGGTAAAAATGGTCTTTTATTCGTATTTTGCGTTTTGATCTTGGGATTATTTTTTGCACTTCAATTCACTTTTTGCGTTGCATATTCTTAGAACTTTTACAAACACTGCAAAAGCTACCTCGTAATTTCTGCAATGTCAAGGGGGACTTCGTTTTTGAATTTCTTATATGCCACCTCGTGCTGGGCCCTCATCGTGAATTCACCGAAAACCTAAGAAAGATTTTGTGGCTACTCTCCAACTATCGCGGACATCTTTATCGAAAAAAAAAGCTTAAACACGGTTGGGTAGTATGCTTCGATTGTGCTTGCCATGCGAAAACGCGTAAGGCCTAGGACATACCTCACGCGATTTTAGTCGCTGCGCGACCTGCCACTGCAAGAACTCTTCAGAGTTGTTCGTAAACGCACTTTGCTTGGGCCAGACTTGCTGCGTCTGGTACAACTCACGACTATGAGCCCATGCATCTGATTGTGAGAGCAGCGCATGCTTGATCAGTAGAAATCTGGCAAATAGCCAGGTCGCAGGGATGTGGCGATTTCGCGAAATCGCGGGAGATATGCTTTAGGCCTAAGGCATATCACGCGATTCCAGTCGCTGCGTGATTTGGCTCTGCAGCGACCAGGGCCCGGCACAGATCGTCTGGAAGCAGGCTGGACTTCGTTTTTAGAGCAAAAAGCAAAAGAGATATCGTTTTTGACGAATCGGTGCCGAACATCAAGAATAAGCGCTATTTAGTCGAATACAAGCTTTTTGGACAGGTTACCACACGATTGACATGCTCAATCGTGTATGGCGAAAAGTGCGCGCGATTTGAAAGCAAGGCTAAAATAAACAAATTGCTTTGTTTACAGCGCACACAGAATCGTTTGACACCAAAATTGAACTGTAAGCATAGAAAATTATTTGAGGAAGAATTATGTAAAAAGTATTGGAAACTTATGTGAAGGAATACCTCTTCCAAATTTAGATCGTCTCCAGACGGCCACCAGACGATCAGAGATCGTCTGCAGCATATATTTCTGTCACTTCACATAAGTTTCGAATTTTTCTATAATGGACGGATTCCCCGGTCAAAAATCTATACCTGAGCATGAAGACATTTTCATATCATTGCTTTTCCTTTGTTTTTTGCCTTCATTTCTTCATGAATTACTTTGTTAAATATCGCGCTCCAATGCCAAACTCTTGCGCATGTAGTATTCAGCTCCAATCTGGATTTTCACACTTATTTCACGTTTTTTCTTTCAGATTAGTAGACCTTTCTCGTTTTCATCTTCTTCTAAGGTCAAAGGGGACTTCGTAAATTTTCTGAAAGTTAGGGTAGATTTCGTTTTCAGAAACCCTAGAAACCGACTCGTGCCGGGCCCTGGCAGCGACTCTTCATAACTGGACGTAAGCGCGCTTTGCATAGGTCTTGAAGCTTTTGCTGCAACTTACGGAGGCTACGCGCCTATGCAATTTAGACTCGCGTACGGTTAATTTGTAAACTCTGGCAAACCGCCAGGTCGCTTGGATGCAGCGATTTGACGAAATCGCGTGAGGTATGCCTTAGGCCTTAGGCCTAAGACGCTAGGGAGATTTCGATTCAGGGGGGGGGGGCACAACTGTACTAATTTGCACGATAATTTTTTCCCTCTAGGACAGCGTTCAAGGACCACTTTTGTGCAGTGATCTTAGAGTCTTACTACCTGATTATGTAGTCAGGAAGTTCTGCGCGGACGCTCTCCATCATTTGTTTTCAGGACCTCTCGCAGTGATCCGGCGGTTCTCCAGCCGACTCGGTCTTCGCCGCAACCCAACAGCAGTGAAAGAATCAATACCAGTGGAAGACGTTGAAGAAAACGAGGAATTGTTTGAAGGAAAAACACAAAAAGAGAAGAAAGAACGAGAGCACGTTACAATTATCAGGATCAAAACGTTGCATAAGAATCCGGAAATGGAAGCTGCGCACGAAATTCCAATTCAGGTTATTCTCATTTTCGCTATCGCTACTTTCGCACATTACCCGCTATTTATTTTCTATTTCAGGAGCAAGAAGATGGAGATGAACTGCGCATTTATGCTCAAGAAAGTATTTTGAAGCGTCTTATGGAAGAGAAAGCTATGATTGAGCGCCAAATGGGAAATATCTCTATGGAATGGGGTAGTGATAGTGCACATACGAGCATTGACGAGACTGCTGATATTATTGTCGAAAGATTCTAAGCCATGAAAGCGACTTTCCACACACCCTGTTCAATCGCATGCTTCGTTTCCCATAGGCGCACAACGATAGAAACACGCCATCACGCAGCTTTGCGTCACATTCGCGCGCCTATAGTTTAGACATTCAAATTGGCTTTTCTAATTGAAGGTCCGCATGTAAGGTCCTCACGTTACGGATGCATCATTCTCAAACAAAAAGGGGTATGTAGTTGACACTGACTTCGTTTGAAATCGAAGTTATATGAAGAAATCAGGTAGAATAAGCCATACTGGAACGTATCAAAGCATATTTTTTGTCAGCTAATGATTTCATGAAATCTTCAACCTTATATCACCTTGCACTTAAATTGTTTACACTGCGATAAAAGGCAATGTATTAGGGCAGTCCGAAAGCTTGTTCACACCATATTCAAAAAATTATAACTTCCTTTCCTCACAATGATTTTGCGCAATTCAAATTTTATTAGAAAGCGTAAAGAATATAATTTCCAAAAGTCCCCTGGCTACTTTCCAACATGCTCAGTTTGCAGAGATAAAAATGAAAGAACGAGATCATTCGAAATTCGGAATTTTTGAGTAAAAATTCTAGAAATTCAGAAACTGTGCGATAAAATCCAGAACAGCCATCATCCTAAGTTTTATTATATTTTATTACTAACTGAGTCAAGTTTGTGCTGATCGAGGTCTTTTTTCAGAAGCTATGAATTTTTGAAAAATGCTAAAAAAATTAATTTCCTAAGAGTTCTTAAGAAATCGATTTTCCGGCATTTTTTCAAAAAATCACAACTTCTGAAAAAAGACCTCGATCAGCACAAACTTGATTCAGTTAGTAATAAAATATAAAAAACTTAGGATGATGGCTGTTCTGGATTTTATCGCACAGTTTCTAAATTTCTAGAATTTTTGCTTAAAAATTCCGAATTTCGGATGATCTCGTTTTTTTCATTTTTATCTCTTCAACCTGAGCATGTTGGAAAATCTCCAGGGAAATTCTGGAAACCACATGCTTTACGCTTTCTAGTAAAATTTGAATTGCGCAAAATCATTGTGAGGGAAGGAAGTTATGATTTTTTGAAAATGCTGCGAACGAACTTTCGGACCAACCTAATAGGATTCGCGGCACGCGGAGACATGGCGTTACTACGGGCATTGTCGGCGTTCCTCAGACCAAACGCGGACTTTTCGTCCCCAACCCGTCTGCTGTCTCACCTAATACAAAAGATGTCTTTTGCGTGAATTACGTATAAATTCAAAAAATAACTGTGATTTGTGCAATTTTCTTATTGCTTAATTTTCTGTGAAGTCGCTTCTTTTTTATTTGCTCTTTCTTTACATATCCCAGTTCATCAGCATTTTATCGCTATTTGATAAACCACTTAACTTGTGTTCATTGTAATACCATCGTTGATTCGGACACGAGAAACAAAAATAGATGTTTTCACGCATTGATCGGTCCCGTACTCATTGTTGATCTCAGCTTTCAATAAAGTGCAGTTGAAAATTACCAAGTCGCCAAGGAACTACTGAATATTACCATGATAAAAGGTTGGAACTTCAAATAAAGCAAAGTTGATAATAAGATGGCTAATAACTTTCTACATCTCTGATTAGTTTGATGTGCCAATTGCTGAGTAGTTCTCGCTATTCACTGTCTCTCTTTTCCCCCCTCTGTCTCCATCTTTTTCTCTCTATTTTTCCCAAATAAAATTACCGGTTTGGTTAGCATTTAGTAATGTTTTATTTTCCGTCTACTTATGTGCACTTCCATGCATATCAAGAGAAGCGCGTTTTGTCGATAGATACCTAGTAAGCCAGAACACTCCGTCTGGTGATTTTGAAAGACTTTCTTAGCTCCAAATTGGGCTTCTAAATTGGTGACATCTAGAGAAATCGCCCTTCTTGACCGTTTCCCTGCGCAGATCAGTTATCTCTCATCAAAAAATGTAAAACAAGACATAATTTTTGAATTTTTGTTCAACAAAAAAATTTGCACTTTCCGTTTTTTCACCCAGAAAAGTGTAAGAATGGAAGTTTTGCACAATAACACAAACATAGAATTCAAATAGATTTTTGAATTTTTTATTATTTGCTTAAAGGCACCGTCCACCGCTGGCTCCGCTAATCAACGTGGGTCCGAAGATAACAAGTCCAAATTTAGGCTTTGATGTATCCAGTATTGCTTTATATAGATCCTCCATTTATTATGATCATCACATCTGCACCTATTCTGTCTACTGAAGCGCAATTTCGGATTTGTATCTTCAGATCACCCACGTTGATGGGCGGAGCTAGCGTGCCGCTTCTATTTTAAAGAGCGGTTTTCTTGCCTTGGAATTCAGCTTTTGCAGCGAGATTGGGCGACTGTTTAGTTAAGGGCGCCGCTATTAGATGACATATAGCAGAGTAAGTACAGGAAGCTTCCAGTAAATAGAAAGACTTCTGCATTGTTTCTTGCCGTTCTAAAAATTGTGGGAGAGTAAAAAGGTGTTACGAAAATGGTAGGCGATTCAACAGATGCGAATGGATGCTGCTTTACTATCTTTGGACACGTGTTTTGAGAATCAAAAAATGTCTCATCATCTATTTCTCTTCAACCAATAATTTTCACTTAGAGGTACACTGACTGATACAAGCTGAGAAAACCTCATTCCTAGTCGCAACGATTAGCGCCCGAATGCTTCTTCACGCTGCGATTTTACAGCATGATGCGTTTTCTCTCACAAGACATGTGTTGAGGTTTCGTGTTTTCGCTCACAAACTGTTTTCACTCATCGCTCTAGTCTAGCTACTCGCTTTTTCTAAAGTATTGTAAGTTCATTAGAGGCTTACGCACTAAAAGTTGGGCAAGTTCAATCGCATGCAAATGAAGATACTTCGAGAATCGCATAAAAATGAAGGAATTTGTGCATGTATGATAGACATGTCACTATTCACTATGTCACTGTCACACGTTTTCTACGTATTGTAAAAAGGTGAATCACACCAGTCCTATTAGGTTGCTGCTGTAAAAATATTGAGCTGTTCCGAAAGTTTTTGTCGTTTTACCTATGCTCAAAACACATAAGATGGCGACATTCTGAACTTCTTTCTCTTTTCTCTAAGGCTGATTTCCTACTGTAAATTCGGGCACAGTTCCAGCACAGCGCACAGTTCAAGCGTTAGGCTGGAAGTGTTCGGTAGCTTAAATTCAAAACGCCAAACCACGTTGTCCAATTTTGGCTTAATCCAAATTTTTATTTATGGCTTTTCGAGGATGACATGAATAGGCAAAGAATTCATAACACGTAACATTTTTTGCTTTTGTTCAACTGGCTTCTTAAAACTTTTGAAACCTTTTCGACCTAGTCATACACCATATCCGACCATTTGAGCCCCATAAGAACCTTTACCTTCAAGCTCAGGCATCTTTAAATACACTGTTTTTCTTTCTCCCTAACTTTCAAAATTTTTTGTTGATTTAGCCGGACCAATGAAACTGTAAATGTCGTTCCATAAGTGCGTATATAAGTGCAAAAAATTTGAAAATTGTTCTTTTTTGAACGGCAGGCTTCGGGGCCTGAGGAAGTTGAGACTGGGGTCAAGGCATAACGGCAGAGTAAAACACCTGTGATGAATGATGCACATTGTTTGGGACCGCCAGCTGCTGCTTCTTCTCAGTCAGTGCATGGCATGACTGCACTTTTACAGGTTTTCTGAGAAAAACGCAAGCTTGACATTTCCTGTTGCACTCAGAGTGGTTTAATTCTGGTAGCGAAATGAACCTAAAAAATTGGGTAATGTCTGATTTTTTGAATAAGCAACAATGTTCAATGAATATTAAATATTAGGTCGTCCCGAAAGTTTTGTCGGTTTTTTCAGACCACTATAAGACCACGCACAATGAAGATCTGGTTGAGCTTTAGCATGTGTTCGACGCAGCTTTTCCTTCTCATTCTAGTGGTTACAATTTTGAACCACAATCCTGTATGCTTTCTTTGATGATTGCTGAATTTCTTCACCGGTCATTTCGTCTGCTCAAAGTTCGGCTAATTTTTGAAAATTTCATTTCAAAGTTTCGAAAAGGGTTAAGTAAGGATTAAATAGAGCAGTTCTCGGACTACAAGATGATACTTTTAGATTCCACTAATCTGCTGATTTTCGCTTCAAAAAATTATTTCTTGGAGGTTTCGATTTTTGGCAAAGTCATGAAAGACGCAACTGGAGCAAAAACATGAAAACTTCTTAAGTTTCTGCGAATTGCAACATGATTCTTATTGGATATTTATGCAACGTTACCCAGTTTGACTTGCTTCAAAAAAGCAGCTTTTTGGAATTTTCGGTACTTTTACGTGGCAAACGTAATCAAAAAGCCGCGGTTTTTATTAAATAAATAATTATAACGGACTTGTTAAACGTGACCCATGTAATCTAAAATAAGTAAAATGTAGCCAAAGCTTCGCTCTATATAACAGTTACCAGCGTTCCTCAAAAATATTAGGACAGAAATTTTTAAAATTCAGGAAAGGTTTGGCGTTATTGTTGAGCTCCTCAAAAAGCCATGGCGATAACATTGCAAAGACAGGGTAGGTCAGAGAGCAAATATAGCTGTAAGAAAGGGAATGAAAATCTAAATCAAATGGTACCTAGAACGTTTATGAACTGGTGTTCTGTGAGTTTTGGTGAGCGCTGAAAAGAACCGTCAAAACTTTCGGGACAACCTAACATATTGTCGCACGGAAGATCTATGCAAGAGTAGGAAGTCTGGTATGCCCAGTGATGGATGCATGTTCACTGAGAACAATCAAATTCATCTTCTTCCATTGAAGAGCACATGATAAAAAAGATGGGAGCACTTAGATTTAATTTCAGAGCTCTCCCTCTTTACTCACATGCACATCCACTCGAAAAATACCTTTCCGTTTCAAAAATAAGGTATAATCTAATTCACAAAATTAGCTAATGTTGTAGCTAAGTAAATTATATCTTCGCTAGAGCAGAACAGCTAGAGAAAAAGAGATGGTCTAGGTCGATTTTTCGTGCTCCTAGCATCGAATGGTATAAAACCGTTGGTGCATAAACCCTTCACGCTCCAAAAAAGTCTTGCTCCGACGACCCATGAAAGCCAAGCCACTGAGAGAGCCGGGTGGAGCAGGCTAATAGTAAATGTCTCCACCCCATTTTAAAAGGGCCACATGTTTTCTATCTAATAATTTATACATATCAGAAATATCAGTATCAGAAAGCTATACAATATCAGAAAGCTCACGAGCGGGGATTCGACGCAGATAGTCACTTTTTTTCTAGCACCCCTCTACTCGTATATACATGGCATTGAGCTGAAAACATGCGTTTTTTGTAAGTAACTTTCTACGCAAAGAATGAATTAAGACCCCTTATTGTCTGACTGTTCTACAAAGCAAGACTTCGCCAGTAAACATAGGCCGCTCTTTTTTC